AATAGAATAGAATAGGGTAGTAGAATAAAATAGAATAGAATTCTTTATTGACCAAATGTGATTGGATACACAAGGAATTTGTCTTTGGTGCCTATGCTCTCAGTGTACATAAAAAGACAAAATACATTCATCAAGAATCATAAGGTACAACACTTAATGATAGTCATAGGGTACAAATAAGCAATCAGGACACAATCAATATCAATATATCGTAAGGATACAAGCAACAAAACAGTCCTGCAGTCCTAAGTGGGAGGAGATGAGTGATAGGACCGATGAGAAGACTTAACAGTAATAGTAATGCAGCCTTAGTGAATAGTTTGACAGTGGTGAGGGAATCATTTGTTTAGCAGAGTGATGGCGTTTGGGGAAAAAAAACTGTTCTTGTGTCTAGTTGTTTTGGTGTGCAGTGCTCTATAGTGTCGTTTTGAGGGTAGGAGTTGAAACAATTTATGTCCAGGATGTGAGGGATCTGTAAATATTTCCACGGGCCTCCTTTTGACTCATGCAGTGTACAGGTCCTCAGTGGAAGTATAGTAGGGTATTGAAAGATCTGCAAACAGCCAAGGCTCAGAGACTAGCAATAATTCCACAGTTCAGCCCTTAGCTTCAGCTATTCTCTTCTAGTGGAATGAAGACACTGTTTATGAAAACAGGTTAAAGTGATGCTTTCTTGACCTAATTTGTTCAGACGTGTGAGTATTATGGTCGTTGGAAAAAGTTTTACAATTAAGTGAAATGTTATGCCCTGCAGCTCTTCCACCTCCTCCTGCAGCAGAAGAGGAAGCAACTTCTGCAAACTACTTCAATCTATCTCCTAGTGGCCCTCCAGCTGTTGTAAACATTGCCCTTCCGCCACCACCTGGCATTGCGCCGCCACCACCACCAGGTAATTATTAATTTTGATCCTGGAGAAACCGATGCTTGATTACCGTTCTTTGAACATATTCAGTTGTCTGAACATCTTCAGAAATTGCTCAAGAGCGTGGGACAGTATTATCACTTAAAAACTCTCTGTTATGTCAGCAAGTTTTTACTTCTTTCATTTCTGGCCTTTGCAAAACAAATCTCGGGATAAGAAAATCAGCCATCTAAATGATATATTTTTCTAGAAGGTTTTCAGACTTTACCATATAAATCTATACAGGTAGTCCTTGACTTATAACCATTCTTCCGTGACTGTTCAAATTTACAGCAGCACTGGAAAAAGTGGTTTGTATTTTTCACAGTTATGACTGTTGCAGCATCCCCATGGTCACATGATCAAAATTCAGATGCTTGGCAACTGATACATATTTATGATGGTTGCCGTCTCCCAGGGGTCATGTGATCATCTTTTGCGCCCTTCTGACGAGCAAAGTCAGTGGGGAAGCTGGATTCACTTAACAAACATGTTACTAACTGCTTCACTTAACCACGGCAAGAAAGGTCATAAAATGGGACAAAACTCACTTAACAAATGTCCTTAACAACAACTATTTGGGGCTCAGTTGTGGTTGTAAGTCAAGGAGCACCTGTATATAATTGCCACCATAATTCTTTTTTAAAAATAGGTTTGTGATGCTTTGTTTTGAAATGAATTTTGTTTTGAATTTGTCAGTTATAAACCCTGCAAAACTCTTCAGATAATGTACACTTGAAATCATGATAAAACTATAAGTAAAAATGCAGCTAATTAACGATAGCTGGTAAATAAAAATATTAAGGCTCAGAATCCAATCATTTCAGTACTTTCCAGAGGAGCTGTTAAGTCTTGCCTTTATTTGCAAAAATCTTGCTNCTTTGCATGTAATGAGTCTATCTCATATATTAGTTTCACCTTTTAAGTTGCATTTCTGAAATAAATGAACTTTTGCACGATATTCTAATTTTTCAGGTTTCACCTGTATACTGTGGTGTGAAATTGGATTTTGCTTCAGGTATGTTCTAATGCAGAGCTGTCAAACTCGCAGCCTGCAGGCCATGCCCATGCCCGGTTTAGCGAAAGGGGAGGCGGAATTGCAATATGTCACGTAATGACGCTGTCACGACACAAGTTTGACACCCCTGTTTTAATGCATAGGTTTACACATGGTTACCACATTTCCATTAATACCGAAATATTAATTTGGAAAGATTATTCAAACTCATCCGTTTTAACCAAAAATGGCACCCAGGAAAAAGGAGCACTGCCACAGAGGGGAACTCTAAGGCACTAAACTCCAGGCCAACCATATGACACTATCCCAGGTTCTGATCAAGTAACTAAGCATACACTCCATCCTTTAGTTGTTTCCATTCCATTGCATTCTGGGTGTGAGCCTCCACCTGCCATGTTGGAGGCCTAGAAAGAGAGAGCAAAGAATAGCATATTTGGACAGGAAGAACCAGAGAGAAGACCTGAAACCAGAAAGCATACATCGGTTTGCTAATAATCTGAATAAAAGCTTGTCAATTGAATATATTGAAACTTGCAAACTAGTAGAATGTATAATGCAGACATCTACATGGTCTACAGTGTTCCCATATGGCATTCCCATAACATTAAGCTAATATTAGTTTAGAATCCATATGGGAGATGGAATAATTTCTTCCATGCATAGTATTTGTGTGCAGATGGATAGATGGATGGATAATTAATCAGTAGCTAGTAATTTAAGTTTAATTATAGTTCTTTATGCCAGAAGAGTTTCTCAAGGAGTTTCTACTCCAATCTAATTGGATTTGCTCTAACCTCATAATCTATTCTATCAAGTAATTAAACCTAACCCCGAGACTTATGCTTCAAGCCAAGCAATGACTATGGTATGCATTGGTCTGCCTCCTACAAATCTACCCCAGCTGCTTCAAGATTGGAAAGATCCAGGCTCTTGTGCTTGGAAACTTAACAATTATGCTAAAATTACACCATCTGAAGTGAAAATAAATGTTGATTTGATCAGCTTTAAGTGGGATACCTGACTTGGCACTTCCTGTTTTTGTTCCCGACTGACATCCCAATAATATTTTTTTCTTAGCATGCTAATATGACTTACAATTTTGTAGCCTGTAGGATTCTCCAGCACAAAACGCTGCACTCTCTTCTGCCTTTGTTGATACAGTCTCGAACCCCTGTTTATGGACAGGGACAACTCCTCCATCATCAAGTCTTGAGGAGTGCTAACCTTCTTTCCCAAGTCTAATTCTGGAGCTGAAGACACAAAGAAATATATACATATACATATACATATACATATACATATACATATACATATACATATACATATACATATACATATACATATACATATACATATANAACAAACAACACAACAAGAATCATCATCATCATCACATCTTAGACATTGTCTTCCACTGCAGGATGAAGACCTCTTCTAAATGTTTCCAATCAACACAGTCCTGAGCTTTCTTTTGCCAATTGGGCCCGCAGTAATTGCTGATGTCTATCCATGATAACCAAAACGATGGATGGATGGATGGATGGATGGATGGATGGATGGATGGCAGAAAGCAAGGGGATGGGAGGTGGAGTCTGCCCTCAATCCAGCATCACCCCCCCCCCCATTGGGTTCCCAGACAAACCGGCAGAGCCAGGTCTTCAGGCTCTTGCAGAAGGATGTGTGCGCATGTGTGTGTAATCCTACTTTTAAAAGATGTTCCCAAGGCAGGTGCTGTAGCAGAGAAGGCTGTTCTGGATCTCGAGTTCTTTGGCTAACAGGATATGAAGAGTCCCTCTCAGCTGGCATGAGTAGGATAGGCCTGTCCTAGTGGAGCAAGGCAGTTAACCAGATAGCCTGGACCTATGCCATTAAGGGCTTTAAAGGCCATAACTTACATCTTGAACTGTATTCGGAAACATTGATAGCCAGTGAAATTTGTGGAGCTGAGGTGCAATATGGGCTATCCTTAGGGACATCAAAGACTGCTTCCGCTTCTCTGCTTTGCATCAACTGAAGCTTCCGAATGGACTTTAAGGCTAGCCCCTTACAGAGTGCATTGCAGTGGACCAGGTGAGAAATGACCACAGTTGCATAAATGCAGCTGTCCAAAATGAATATATATTCTTCAAAGTTTGCAGTCTGGTGGAAAGAGTAATAAACCTATCCTACCATGCATTTTGACTTTTAGGCCTGTTGACATAGCTGAAACTCAAATTGTAGCTTTATAATATTCATGTTCTTACTCTGGCCATTTCAGTTTCCACATTTTTATAAAGAAGGTTGAACATAGACAATTCAGAGAAATGAGTTGCAAGACAAGAAAAAACAGTTGTAATAGATGTGATATTTTTTTATTTTCTAGCAACTCTTACAACATCTAGCTTTGATTTCTCAAAAAAAATATATCTGGGTATTTAATTAAACATAAACAAGACATTAACATAAATCCACATTTGACCTGTCATTTTTTCAAAACAACAAGAACAACAACATGAAATTTAGTTGCTTTCTTTTAAGTTTAATTTCAACCTACTTTATTTTAAGTTAATTTCAGTTTAGATGGCTACCCATGTAATGAAATGGATCTGAGTAGCAATCAGCAGATCACAAAAGAAAAATAACACCTCAATAAATCTGTAAATGGTAACAAAGTTAAAAAAAAGTTTTTTTTTTGCCATCATTAGAACCAGGCTTTGTCACATATTCCTGAAAGAATAACCAGGACAAGAAAGCTGTATGAAAGGCCACCAGTGTTGGGGCAAATCTAATCTCAAGTCACCAGGAGAGAAAAGCTGTTTTCCTGGGTCTTACCAGATGGCACCCTAATAGCGGCGTGTGGCTTGCCTCTTCTGTTGGATCTGATAAGACAGGTAAACACAATCAGAGAGAGGTTTTATATGTCCTGCATACTTTTTATACTACTACCCTGTTTCCCCCAAAATAAGACCCCCTGTATAATAAGCCCAATCAGGCTTTTGAGCGCATGCACTAAAATAAGTCCACCCCAAAAATAAGCCCTCCCTGAAAATATTTCAACACAGCAGCAGCCATGAGGTGACTATGCTTGCCACCTCCTACTCCTCAAAAATAATAAGACCTCCCCGAAAGTAAGGCCAAGTGCTTATTTGGGGTGGGGTCCAAAAGAAAATAAGGTCCTGTCTTATTTTCGGGAAAACACGGTGTATTTCTCATATCCCTAGATATATGTTCATTTTAAAAATGTTTTGGTTTTTTTGCTCTTTGAGTTTAAAAATCACTTCCACTCCTTGTTTCAATGTTTTAAGCAATCATCCTACTATGAACTGCATGGTTTGTTACAGTTTGTGGTCAAAATGGCATCAGGCGGGAGTGTTTAACAATAAGCCAAAGCTGCTATTTTACTTTCAAGATGTGAGAAGATTTGTCTATTTTATGCTAAAAAAATTCTCTTCTGGCAATTATTGGTTAATAACTGGGTGTCAAGCAGGCATTGATCTTGGGATAAGAGATACAACTATGAGGCAGTCTCTACAGATCCTCTGATTCAGGCATAACATGTATCCATCCTTGAGGTGTTCTGTTGAAGCTGGGTCTATCTGAAAGTAGCACCACATCATTCATGGCATCTGCAGGAGGCATAAATACATCAAATCCAGGAAACGTGTCAATCAGTAACGGCCCACCAAATGGTGTAGGAGTCCTGCAAGGAGGATGAAAAGTTTAAAACAGTTGGCAAACAAAGCATTCTGAAAACCTAAGTGGGAAAAATATTTGCTGCAGATATGACACAATCTGCAAGTGTCAAATGCAGCTAGCCGTTAGCAAATTAAGCCACAATTAAAATGTTTCTCATGGTTTGCTACTCAATACTTAAAATGTTCTGGCCAAGCAAGTTTCATTGCGCTGTGTTCATATTAGGGCTGCAAAACTGATCAAATGTTCCATTTGAGTTTCTTCTCAATTTCTAATACTAGATTCATTCTGTGAACTGCTTATCAGCTTCGCAGATAAGCAAGTGAACTTGGTGTGAAATGCAAACACATTTCTTTTGAACCGTTTGTGTATACTGTTTTACAGCCATTGTGTTTTCTGCAACATACATTGGTGTGTGGGTGTATGCATGTCTGCTTGTACATGATCACAAAACAAATAATGCATTGTTCTCGACCAATAGTCAACCCCAGAATAGTGAGTCTATTGTCAAAATCTTATTTTGACCTCGTCCAGCGAAACAGCTCTTTAATTCTGTAGTGAAATAACACAGTGTAAATTATACAGATGAACAATGGAGTATTTTCAATTCTGCGTAAATACTATTTCAGGCATCTTTTGCTTCCTGATGTCATTTTTGCTACTTGGGAGGAATCTGAGAGCTCACAAATTGGTTATCCTAAACTGTGCAGAAAATCATGGATTATGTAGGTTGCCAACTTCTCAAATGGATGAAATTGGGCAGAATTTGTTTCCAAGCAAGCTCCAACAAATGAAACAGTTGCTGTAAAATTTGTAAGAAATATATAGGCTGAAGCCATTTAAGCTATTTCTGCTTTATATTACCAAATGCCTACAAATGGAAACTTGCAACTTTTGGCATCTTCTGACTCTTTGAGCTTATTTTTCCTTTCCGTGAAATCTGTGAATTGTTTTTGTTCTTAGGTTTTGTATAGGCGGATGGATCTGAGTGCAGAGAGAGAACATATTAGAGCAGCCCTGGGCATTTTATGGCTCTTGGACCATATCCGGCCCTTCAGCTGTCCCTGTCCGGCCTGCAGTATTGGAGGAGGCAGCCTTAGTGGCAGGATGTCCCCAGGACAGTGGCAGTGGCCCTTCATAACAATCCCATTTCTCACGTGGTCCTTTGAGAAAATTAATTGCCCATCCCATGGTATATAAAGAAGACCATGTCATCAAGTAATCTCCATTGTTTTTAAATTATGGTTCCATGCATTTTTGGGTGTTCTGCTCTGATTTAGGTTTAGAATCTGTAAGGAAGCCTTCTTAGAAATCATAGCTAATAGCTCAGAGTTTCCAAAATATTTGTTATTTACAATATATCTAGGTAATTTTGCATTAATATGAGAAAGGATTAATTAGGATAGCACAATAGTTTAATGCATATTCCAGGGCAAGCATTTTGAAATTTCACCTTTGGCGTTCAGTGTGGTCTTCTATTGTACCAAACTTCCTATCAGTCCAGGTCATTATTGTTCCTGGAAATGCCTCTTCCTACAAGGCTCACTGGCCATAAAGTCCTCTCAATGATTAAAGGTTCTGTCTTCTGTGCTGAGCAGACTCTCAGAAAAACAAGGAATCTGGTCTTTTAAAATCCAGCAATCACAAAAAGTTAAGATGTTTATGAGCTATACCCATAGCAGCCTTAACCAGTGTGGCCAATAGTGAAGGATACAAGTGAGCAGCTTCTGGAAGGATATACATTTTCTACCATCCTTTAAAGAGCTAATATTTAAAAATATGCCTATCAAGTCTTATAAAAAAGGGGTAAACAACCTGATTACCATCTGTAGTTTGTTTATACATACATACATACATACATACATACATACATACATACATGCATGCATGTACGCACGCACACACACACACACACACACACACACACATGCAAAAGAAACAGAGCAAACCTTTTTACCTGTTGAAATTCCTAAGGTCCAAAGTATTCACTTTTCTGGACTCAGGCAAATGGTTTTCCACATCTACCTGGTAATCAGCATTGCAGAAGAATTCATGCCAGGGAGACTGGTAACCTTTGGGGATTGCAGTTCGGTTAAATTTCTCGGGTGGAACTTCTTTTAGTGGTCCAGAATAGCCTGCAACAGGGATTGTCCAATAAAACAATTGTTTTAAGTAATGTGACGCCAAAACTTCAAGCAACTTTCAAATTATTTTTATGCTTTCAAATTATTATTATTATGCTTATTTCTGGAAGAAGCTAGCTAGCTAGAGAAAAATAGATTTTGGTTTCCAAGTTGTAGGAAATCTTCATCAGAAACATGTTCTGCTTCTAGAGTGCCTCTTCAGTGTCACACTCCTTTAACCTTGTTATCAGTGACAGTTGTTGCAGTTTGCCATTTCTTGAGTACTTTGGTACTGCAGTGTGTATTTATGAATCTAACCTCAACTGTATACCAAAAAATAGTTAATGGCTGTCTTTCCTGTTGCACTTCTGCCCTTCATTCATTTTCTCAAGTGGGTGAGTATATCAGAATCAGCGTTGACTTCTTTCCAATTAAAGATAAGGCTTCATATTTTTAAAAAGGTTACTCATCAGTTTCTTAATCAATCACGATTTGCCAACTATGGATGGACAATCTTCTGCTCCATTTTGATTTTAAAAACGCTCCCACCTCATACTGGAGATGAACCAGAACAGGACTATGATGGTGATGAGGGGCATACTTCAGTATTGTTGAGATAAAATGTTGGAAATGTAGTGTCCCTTTGTCATGAAAAGAAATTCTATTATGGGACAATAATCAAGGAGTTGTTTGAGAAGAGATGATAAAGAAAAATCAGGGACAATTTAGGATTTACAGTAGCCCTTATTGAGAGGTGGCGTGTGTGTGTGAATAAAATAGATATTATGAGATCTCTCTCCATCAAAATCAAACTGCTTTCCTACTTATTCAACAACAAGAACTGCATCAGATGAAAGTGTCAAAGAAATGGACAATGATTCCATCTGTCTGGATGTTTTTGAGTACAGGCGACCATTTATATTCCTCATCAAATAATTAACTACTGTTAAGAAAAGGACGGTGTTCCATCAGTTGTCTTTCCAGGCTGATCACATCTAAGTAAGTCTCTGTTTGCTAATAAAAAACAGTAGGTCATACAGTAAATAACACAGACCTCCCCATGACGATACTATAAACAATATGAGCAATAAGGTAAAGACGATATACTTCAAGTGAGCCTTGTCATGATCATGTGGACATTTATGCCCCCTTCTCCACCACCGCTACTCACAATTTATCCTTTTATTTTTGAGTTTATGATGGACTAGAGTAGCATTTTCCAACTTAGTTCCCTACGGATATGATCAACTTCAAAGTATTCTAAGTCAGCCAATGCAATATGTGGGAATTTCCACAGGCTAGAAAGTCAATGAGTCAAGTCCAGCAAGCCTTTCTTCCTTGATATTAAGGCCAGCTTGGAGTAGTGAAGAGCTTCTTACCTAAGATGACCAGATGTCCTGATTTCGGCGGGACAGTCACGATTTATAACAATTTGTCCCGTGTCCCGGGGCGTTTTTAAAAAGTCCCTCTTTCTCTCTCTCTCTCTCTCTCTC